GCTATTGGTGGATTACATGATGTCTGATTGGCTACTGTACACTAGCAATCACTCTTGCACTTCGATTTGATCTATTGGTCGATTACGTGATGTCTAATTGGCTACTGTAAGCTACCAATCGCACTTACACTTGAAGAGGTCGCCGCTGCTCAGTTTTGTTTTGGAAGTCGAGGAGGTCGAGTCGGCCCTGTCAACACTTACCGGTACGAGTCAAGGGTTTACTTTACCGATATTGTGCTTGTCCCTGTATTACCTACTGTGCTTTAATAAGTGTTTAGTATGTTTTAATAAATATTTTTTAATAAATACGTGGGTGTATTAATAAATTTTATGGTGTAATTCTACAAGTGTCAGTGACTTTAACAGTGTGTTTCCTGCATGCATATACGGATATATAAGTGTACCTAGTGTACTAATACTAGTGTTTACTCCTAGCACATTCTACTAACCGGGTATCAGGAGCAGATTTTGAACCCCATCTGTGGTCCCACTATGCTACACAATGAACCCTCTTCTACGCAAACTATGGGTGTGCCACCTCTTTGCATATTCTGTTATCCTAATACTTCTGAAGTCCTGATAGTAGGAGTGCAAAAGATGACACAGACAGTATTTTAAGTACCTTCACAATCCCATGTTATCCTATACGAAACTTTGGAATACCGTCATGTTCCGATTGTGGTCAAATTTTGCAAATAACTCTTTTTTGCAAAAGGAAATATTTGTAAAATGAAATGAAATGAAATTAAGCTAAATTAAACAATTAAAATCGATTTTAATGGGCTTTTTCGAAAATTGAACAAGTGGCGCCATCTCTCCGGCGAACGGGGTGAACTACACACTTTTGAAACACTGCTTTAATTAGTTCCTGTCTTCTACCGCTAGATGGGGGTGCATAAAACCGGAAGTCCTAGGGTAATATCTTAAGCGTGATTAAAAATTAATATTAGTTTGCTAAAGTCAAAATTATTTGGAGATTGGTCTTGCACTAGTATGTAATTCGATTAATATTGTAATTAATTAAGCTAATAAAAATAGTTATCTTCATTCGATTAAGCCGAAAAAGATACAAGTGGCGCCATGTAGCGAAACTACGCGGGAAAATTTTTCGAATCAACAAGTAAACGCGCACTGCAACAAGTGGTTACACGAGCTGTCAGGAAATGAAGTAAAGGAAACGCATCAGCTTTCGGTTTTGGTTACAATTATTTATTTCCATTGTCCTCTTTGGCTCCAATACATATAATACTTGATATATAATGATTCAATAATGTTCATTAAATACGAAGTACGAAACCTATCTACGCTAAATTCGTCTACAATCAATACCTTCATTTTTTATTCGCCATACAATATCGTCAATACAAATGAAACGTTCGGTAATAAATTATTAGGTAGGTAAGCGTTTATTTTATCATTTTTTTTTTGTTGTTTTTGGTTTCAATCATTTCTTTCTCTCACACGTGCATTCTTTTCCTTTCTTACGCTCTCAATCATCCTAATATTACACAGAATCACACGAAGCGTAAAACCGAACCTACCACGGATCAAACGAACCATTTTGAAAAAAGTCCACGATAGAAATCCCGCAACTGTTCTATCGATCGATCGCCTTCGTTCCTTATAAAATTATCTTAAACAACGAGAAAACGTTTTAAGCATCGATGGGAAGACCGTGTGAACTACGAGAAGGCGTTCATCAAACACGAACGAACGAATTATGTGTCTGTGTATGTTGTGTAAAAACCTCGAACGACTTTTCATCGAGCAGTCACGGTGAAACGAAACGACACGTATTTTTTAATGAAGTTTTACCCCGCATTGTGCTACGGCCATTTTGTTGTGTTTCTTTGTTTGGTGACAATCACAGCCCCACGTTGAATAGTCGAACGAAGAGAAAGAAATAACGACAGAATGTCCCCTTTTTCTCGACTTTTTGTCGACCATTTTCAGGGCAGGATTAAGGCTTTTTTACACCTTTGTTTTTAGAATATTTTGGTATGCATGCATTTGGAATTTTGGGGTTGTGAGATATAGGGATGTAGAATTTGGAATTTTTTAAATTTTGGTATTGTGAGATTTGGGGGTATAGGATTTGGTATATTTGGAATTTTTATATTTTATAATTTGGGTTGTAGGATTTACAATCTTTAGAATTTTGGGGTTGTGAGATTTGGGAATATAGGATTTGATATATTTGAAATTTTTATGATTTACAATTGTGGATCTAGGAGTTGTAATCTTTATGTTTTAGAACTCAGGAATCTAGTATACAGAATCTTTGGAATTTGAAGACCTACGATGGAACTTTGGAATTTAAACACTCTTGGACTTTATGAGATTTACAGAACTTCAACACTGGAATTATCAAACTTATGAGATTCACTGCATCTTTGAGGTTCATCAAATTTCAATACATTACTGTTTTAAGTTTTCTGAGATCTCGACACTTGAGAAGTTGAAAGCTCTAGTATTTGGAGACTGAAATATTTGAAACTTGAAAGTAACTTTGGAACTTAGATTTTGGTTCAAAATTCTGGGACTTTAGGTACTTTAAGATTCATGAAATTAAAAAGAGAAGAATCTTATAATATTTACAATTGAATTTTGATATTTTAGAATTTTAATCCAGCCCTGACTACTTTCGACTGCCTTTCAATCGTTCCCAAATTCGAACAGATCTCATTCTCTCTAAGTTTAAATTTTCTTCGCTATCAGATACTATGAATGCTACAAAATGTGCACTGGAGATGTCTACGGATGTTCATTTAATTTTAGCCACCATAACTAGTGACATATTCCAAATGTTTTTGAAGAGACTTTTACATCATTTATTGGTAACAAAGTAAGTTGAAAAGTAAGATTAGAAGTATGTACAGTAGAACTCTGTTTATTCATAATTTATAAGAAAACTGTTAGTTGCAAATGAACTTATACCTCTAATCATATAAATTATTAATGATATTAATATAACTTCTATTAATAATTATCTTACAAATTTTTGAATTAAATATAATAATGACATACATAAACAGTATATGAAAGAAATGATATATAAAATCCATTGAATATTACAAAGTAATAATTTAAAATTGTTATCAAAAGAATAATGAATTATTACAAAATTAAACAGAGCTATACTGTACAAATTTATAAAAGTACCACAAGAAAGAATTAATTTATTGCTTTTATCAACAGATGGATATTATTTACTGATTTAAATAGTAAACTAGGTAATAGAGTCTTTTGAAAAAATTTAATGAAACAGAAGCATTACCCTGCATCACCAAAATACGACACAAATTGTATCCTACGTTTTGCACACGAATTACAATGTTGAAACAGCTCGAGATACACGCTGATCAATTTTGAGAAAGTCACAAGATTAGCAGCTTTAATAGAAGTAGAGAAAGATCGCTATGAGGCTACGTTCGATTAAGATTTTTACGTCGCGTTCAATTGACCGTTCTGATGTACAGTATCGAGAACGGTGGGCTTCCTTGTGGAAAACGGCGATGTAGGGGAAGGAAAATTCACTACTCATTCTTTCTTTATTTAGCAATTTTGCAAATAGGTTTGGAAATTTAGAAAGTTGGACAAATGAAAATTTTTAAATTTGGGGATTTATGGGGTTGGGGATTTAGGGATTTAGGGGTTTAGAGGTTTGGGGATTTAGGGATTTAGGGGTTTGGGGATTTAGGGATTTAGGGGTTTGGGGATTTAGGGATTTAGGGGTTTGGGGATTTAGGGATTTAGGGGTTTGGGGATTTAGGGATTTAGGGGTTTGGGGATTTAGGGATTTAGGGGTTTGGGGATTTAGGGATTTAGGGGTTTGGGGATTTAGGGATTTAGGGGTTTGGGGATTTAGGGATTTAGGGGTTTGGGGATTTAGGGATTTAGGGGTTTGGGGATTTAGGGATTTAGGGGTTTGGGGATTTAGGGATTTAGGGGTTTGGGGATTTAGGGATTTAGGGGTTTGGGGATTTAGGGATTTAGGGGTTTGGGGATTTAGGGATTTAGGGGTTTGGGGATTTAGGGATTTAGGGGTTTGGGGATTTAGGGATTTAGGGGTTTGGGGATTTAGGGATTTAGGGATTTGGGGATTTAGGGATTTAGGGGT